CACACACATATATATATATATATATATATATATGTATGTATGTATGTATCCTAAAAAACAGGTATATTTCACAATATTATTGTTTTTAATATTTGTGATCAAATAAATGTAGCCTTGGTAAATAAAAGAAAAGACAAAACAACAAAATCTTACAGGGGTGAAACTTTTTACCATTATTGTATATATAATAATTAATATATTTTATTATTAAGTAAAGATTACTAATTAAATCTAAGTAAGGTAAACTATTGGATTTTACAGTGTATATTCCTCTATGATATTTAACATCCTGGTGTTCTCTTCCAGGCCCATGGTAAATCCTTTGTGAGGCAGTACAATATTCATTTAGTGAGAGACACAGAAAAAGAGTAATGGGGATTTATAAATTGAGAGGGAATGGCAGATGTTCACTTCTCATTCAAGATGTTCTAAGTAGTCCGTTAGGAGGATTATTGAAAGGATGAGTACCCTGCACTCCTAATGCCTGAGGCCAGGCACACACTTCCAATGATCCCTGCAGCATCCACGGCTTCCACATGGCTGGTGCGTGGAGTCTATATTGATCTGCCCCTGTTTGTCTTTCTCTCTCAGTCAGAGTTTGATTGTTTGGGGTCGATGAGAGAAAGCAGTGGGACTGTGGCTTTTGTGAAACTAAGAGATCATTGCACCCGATTACCGTTCCACAACCCACCTTTACCTGTGGACAGTCTGACCCGAGGACATCTGAACTTAATAAAACAGATAGTTCTGATGCTGAAATCTGATTGGATCAGCCACATTAAAAGTTGTTAGTGAGCCAACTGTGGCTGCACGTCAATTCTACATTTACACCAACACTCCAAAAAAAAAAGTCTGTAAAAAGAGGGCCCAGTGTACTGTGGTAATATGAAGGAATTGTGTTGCTGTTTAGGGTTAAAGGAAATGTCTGCAGACTTAACAAAAAATGTTCTGGCAGATCATTACCAATACATTTTCAATGTTTCAATTTCAACCTTTTCAATGTTTTTTTTTTAGTATACAATATGACTTTTTTTTTACTGATAAATTATTAAAATATAATTTGGAATTACTTAAAAATTTTATGAATGTAAGTCCATTAATAACCAGTTTTATTCTATTTAATTATTAATAATTAAATTAATATAATATGCAATATAATATGTACATATGTGTGTGTATATATATACAATGTTATTAGTGTGATTCTATTAAAGGTAACATTACACACTAACTAACGTTAAAAAAGTGAAATCGCAATCAACCACCCCATTAATATTTAATTTTATTCTATTGTTATTAATGTAATATACATGTTAACAATATTATGAAAATATATCATATATCATATTAAATGAATATTAATATTGGCAGTTTGAAAAGTTTGATTTAAAGGACATTTTGTTTATTTTTACCACAGATTAATAAAATAAAAATAAATTTTATTGCCATCGTTTATTAAAGCTGCACTTTGTATTGTGCCCAACAACATCCCTTGGTAAATGACTGTAACAAACTGCCTCGGTTGGCTTATTGTTCGAGTCCTCTGCCTTTCCCATCTTTGGAAAGAAAGTGTGCACAACAACTTTCTCAATTTCTGAGACTGTGACACCTGACAAGCTTTAGTGCAGTATTACACACTGAAAAGGCACCATTTCTGCACCTGGTTTTAAAACAAGTAAAAGGTTTTGAAAAATGAGTTTTGCTTGCAATAGCGCTTAGCAACTTTTTCTGTCACCAACCTTTCCCATTCTCTAACCTCTTTCTCTCCATCTCTACGTCTCAGTGCCTGTGCGAGAGGGAGGGTTGATTCTGTGAAGGAACTTGCCAACTACCACATTTTGCTGACCATCTGGCAAGAAGCAGTTATGCACCTGTTAGGAGCAGCTGCAGGAGACAGGAGCTAGGTACAGACATATCATCTCTCTCGCTGTCTTTTTATTAAGTCCTAGCAAACCCTGTACATCCATCCATCCATCCATCAGGTGCCCTAAGGGGCCACAGGGAGCTCCACCAGTGAAGACAAATTAATACAGGTTCAACTGGAAGGTATGCGGGCAAAATGTGCCTGCTTTCACCAGATGAAAAATTTCATCCTGTGCAGAAAATTGAGGTTGCTACATTGTCACAGAATTTGAAGAAAACGCTTAAAATAAAAAAAATTGAGACCTGCTGACAAGACCAGCATGCATTTCCATGGCAGCCCAGGCTGATTTATTATAGTTAGAAAAAATGATTTGGTGATTGTCTATCTGGTGGCATGATCTTTCTGGTTAAACTTAAAGCTCAGTTAAGCCAGACCAGCCATAATGGTCTTTTCTAAAGTATGGACACTTCTGAAAATAATACATGAGATATTTATTTTATAGATGCACAGGTTGTGGCCCAGATTGTGACTAAAATGAGACAAAAATAAATAAATCTTCAGCTGGTGGCGCCCTAGGCGACCGCCTAGCTCGCCTATGCCTAGAAACGGCCCTGTATATCTATATCCCAGGCTTTAGTGTTTCCTGTACATAACAATGAATGCAACTCGCCACAATGTCCAATTCTTGAACAAAAGACTCTTACGAACGAGTTATTTTTAATGAGTCAGTCAAAAAGATTCATGAAACAGTCTCGGTCTTGAATCAGACCCAATGAATCAGTGAATCATTCAAAGCCGTTTCTGAGTTCACAACTATCTCACTGAATTGTCATTTTTCATTTGTTTTCTGAACTAACCAGGAACTTGAAATCAAAGATACATACTGTATTATAAACATTTCTGTTATCATAAAAAGTAAAAAAAAAAAATAATAATAATAAAAAATATATAATTGTTTAGTGCAATTGTACTAACATGAATTAACAACTAAGAGCATTTATTAATCTTGTTTAAATGTTAATTCTTACAAATACTTATATATTTCTTTTAAAAAGTTGTACATATTAAAATTAAATTATGAACTAAAAATAATAGTATTTTTAAAAATGAACATCAATCAAGATTAATAGATGCTGTATTTGTTTATAGTTCATGATATATATGTTAATGTGTACAATCTTATTATAAAGTTTAAAAAATATTCTATAAAATCATACTGCATATATAAAAATCAATATTGCATGTATCTACACTCTCAGAAGAAAGGTACAAAAGCTGTCTCTGGTGTGACGACCTTTCAAAAGATACACCTTTGTACCTTATTTAACCCTAAAGGGTGCATATTAGTACCTTTGGAAAGTCTTTTGCCCTAACACCTGAGTGTAGCTTTTGCTGGTGAGATAGTTCTCTTCTGTTTGCTGTCTTATCTCTTTCTGTTTTGAGACATGGCCTAGCAATGCCTTCACACTGGCTAAATAACACTGCACGAGTACTCCAGGTCTGTACCATCAACCGCCGCTCTCAGCGGGCAAGTGCCAACCGGCAGCTGGCCAAGCTGGCATGAGCAAATCCCAGCATTCTGATGCCTTGCACAGGGTCTGGCTCCACCCATCAACACACCATCACCAGCTCCCACTCCAACACATGTGCAGCTATTAGCAGGAACAGTCACCAAGGAGACGTGCTGTTGGGCAGCGTGGCACGGTTTTGTGCTATCAGAGAGAAGAGGGATATGACCAATTTACTGATAATAGCATATCAAGTTGTCAATTTCCATTTCTACCATTTGGAACACAGATATGAACAGCTGAAGCAAGAACCTTCCTGAAAACAGATCAGAGCTGTAAGTCAAGAGCCTGTAATTATGGAAAACGTTAAGATGAGTTTAATTTTTTAGGTTCATTTACAAAACAGGAAGTATTATTACACTCACTCTGGAATACTTGATATTGATTGGTCTATCGGGGTAGTGAGCAGTCAAACATTTAGTATGATGACTGCTATATTGTATATTTAAATTGTACATGCAACGTTCCAGTATGTTCATGTCTCTTGTATCATGACACATTTTATTTTTATACCAATGCAAGAACATCTAATTGGTGTCATCTTTTTGAAAGAAATTAATACTTTTATTCAGCGAGGATGCATTAATTTGATCAAAAGTGACAGTAAAGACAAAAGAATGCAGTTCTTTTGAACATTCTATTCATGAAAGAATCCTGAAAAAAATGTGTCAGAATACATTTGGTGTTCAGAAATTATTCTTGAGCACCAAACCAGCATATTAGAATTATTTCCGATGGAGCACGTGACACTGAAAACACTGGAGCATCATCATAGAAATAAATGACACGTATTAAATTACAATATTCACGATATTACTGTTTACTGTGTTTGTGCTCAAATAAATGCATCCTTAGTGAGCTTAATTTCAAAAACATTTAAAAATCTTACTTTAATTTTCAAAATACTGAGTTAGGCCACACTAACCTAACATAATCACAAACACTGTATAGTACAGATAGGAAGTGAATTGTAATGCAGATCTTTGCAGAGAAGTTTATCTCAAGTTTACCTCTTCCCTTTCTCTGTGGAGGATTTACTGAGCTTTATGTGGCTTTGATGTAGAGAACAACGTTCAAATTAGCTCGCGGAATGCAATTATTTAATTCCTTGAAGAGGATTCATTTTTTATAGCAGCTGAGCACAAGGAATGTAAATAATGTCCGGTTCTTTGATTTGAAACCGCTATGAGGGTGAATAAATAAACAGCAAAGAGATGTCGCCAGGTTTATTCTCTTTATCCTTTTGTTTCAGCCTGACTCTAGCCTACAATTGAACTCCAATCCCCAGTCTGGCTCAGGGTCTCTGGTCTGTCATTACTGTTCACCTCATCCTTTTGTCCTTGAGCTCCTTGAGTGGCCTTGATGTTGAGACGGCCATTCAAAACCAGCAAACCGTTTCATTCTCTGAGGAAGATTCATTTTTATATGAATCAAACCTGGAACAACTCACAGGTAGAAAACGTTGAATGCTTTGACTTGAAATCAGTGGGAA